GACAGAGCGGGCCCGTAGATTTTTCGCGTCGGGAAATGTACGGAAAACGACTACAATTTTTTGTTCATTTTCTTATCCAAAAACCGTTAAAGAAACAGCGGTGTTTTCGTACCCGGAAATGTACAGAAAACGACTTCAATTCTCATTGGGCGCAGGGGAGCATGCTAGTATTTGTTCGCTTTCAGAAGGCGCCGGGTTCGTATGCCGTTAGGCTCTTCCTTAACTTTATTTTCGAACTATGAAAAAGCATTTGTGAAGTGCAGAAGGAAAGCGTATTGAACGAAAAATTCAATCAGAAAAACAGCCAAAAGCTTATCCGTTTAACATTTTCGGTACTATTCTACATGCGTTCCTTTAGTGGAAAAACGGATCGTCAAAGTATCCGAAAATGGAATCGGTAAACGGACAAAAAACAGCATTTCATCCACTTTTTTTCCTTTTTCGTAATCGTTTTCGGATGCTTTGCTGGCTGGCTGCTATGTAAATGTATGTATAAGTTGACGGCTGAGTGAAAGAAGGACCTATCTCGGCAGCCCGTTCGAAAACGCCCTGCCTCGGAAAACTTTTCAAGAACGCCCTACTTAGAATTTGGTTGAAGCAAGTCCTATTTCCGCTTTTTTGATTGAAAAACGTACTATCCCAGAATTTTTTTTGAAGAACGCCGTAACTCAGAATTTGGGTCATAAATGCCTTATCCCGGCAGCTGATATAGGGCGTTTTTGAACCGAATTCTTAAAGGGGGTGTTCTTAGAAAGTTTTCTGAGATAGACCGCTTTCGAACTGGCTGCCGAGATAGGTCAAAGGGAGTTTTTTGCAGTAAAACTGAATTTCATATAATTACTGAAAGATATCGGCAATTGGCGAAGTTTTATGATCTCTGCTCAATCCGACCAACGAGAAGAAGTTATAATAGCAGTACCCCTAAACTTCGATTAATCCATATAGCAGACTCATGTTAAATAATCGGATTTTTGTTTCTTCAGCGAGTCCCAAGAAAATTCTGATTTTATAACTACTGTATAGCATTTAAACCCAGCTATAGACTTGAAATTTCAAAGCTAGCTCAAACAGTGCAATATGAAAGATAAATTAATCCGCTAGGTGGCGTAGGTATTTCGAGATATTTGAAAACCCCGTATTTATAGTCCAATTTGGTTCATATTTGAAATGCAATTTGCCCACATAGAAGCCAATAACTCTACAATAAATTTAGCCGGTAGGTGGCGCGGGAGTCTATATTTTGCACCGCATTTATGTTCCAATTTCGTTCATATTTGGAACATACATATACTATGTATTGCGGATCGATTTTCCGTCATCCCTTGTCAAATTTGGTTTGGACCGGTTTCGGTATTGCGCCAACTTCAGTACCATTTTTCGTTCTCTCCATGTACAATCCCAATATGTTTTTACATATATACAGCGCTGTTAAGGCCTTCTTTACTCGATTTTCGACCTAGAGATTCTTTTACAGCGATCCCGAGATAGTTTGTACTTTGTTCGGGGTCGTTTTGGGACTAATAAGAGACCATTCCGGGACCGTTTTAAGACTTGATCCACATAATTTCGGGACAAGCTTTTTTGACTTTTTCAGCACCACTTCAGGACAATTTTGGGACCAGGCAGGATCATTTCCCGAAGTGGATATGAAAAAGTCATATACTGGTCCCGACAAAATAAATAAAACGAAATGAAATTTATGTTTAATTTCCAACCTAACCTAATTATTTACATATGTGTGTTATTTCATAAGTACCTGGTACTCACTCACGCCTTTTCTCTCCGCCGAATGGCTAGTGCATATATATTTTTCAATTGCAGTACCCACAAATAGTGGCATGCCAATTTGATTGATTTAATTGAACAAAGATGAATGAGTCAATATTAAATTAAAAATACGTTGAGCATATGCCAAATAACTTTTTCATGGGATCAACCAATTCCTTCCCATCGACTTTAAATCAACAATTGATGTAATATGTAAATTTGATTTCATTATTGAAAACATGATTAATCGGCAGCTATAAATTACAACTTACATACAACGAAACTTAAAAAAACGATACATATAACGGGTGATTTTTTTGAGGTTAGGATTTTCATGCATTA